GGCGGAGTCCGGCGCGCTCTGCCCGCCGACGGGACGCGGGTCGGGTCTGCTGGCAGAGACCTGCTCAGCCCCAGCCCTGCTCCTCGCTCCCCGGGCTGGGCTTCAGGAGTCCCTTCGGTGCTTCTTTTGTTCGTGGTATTCTGCTATTTTCTGCTGGAAATATGCTGCGGGCAAGAAAAGGGCGCTGGGTAAACGTAAGCCTTTGAGCCGTTCGTTCCTGTTCAACTTTTGCGTTTCCTCTGCAGCCAGCAAAGGAGTGAGAAAGCAGGAGGCGCTGAGGATGCAAATACCCGCAGAGGTGCTGCAGACCGAGAACATAACTAGAAAGCTGGGCTTGTGCCCCCTCCCAGCTCGGGACCCCAGGCAAACCCTGGGCTGCGCCTGCCCGATAAAGTCTGCCCCCAAAAAGGGCAGCGAAAGCAGGAACCAAGCCCCGAGCACCCGGGCAGGTCACAGAGAGGGACCCACCGCGGGCACCGGGCTGGCAGGATGCTCCGCTCTACCCGGTGCCCCCTGAATTCCCGGGAGGGAGGAAGGAGCGATGGAGCCAGCACGGCCCCACGCCGGAGCTGGGGGCAGATATGCGTCAGGGCCCGCTGTTCCCGCAGCCAAGCCAAATATTTGCGCTGCTACCGGCGTGTTTATCTAAACACTGTGCTCTGGTTAATCCTGCCCCGTCCCCAATCAAGTGGCAAGATCCAACATGAGCTGGTTGCTTGTCCGGGATGGAGAAACGTGGCTGCCGAGGGCAAGCTTGGTGCAACCCGCTGCCCTGAGCGTCCTCCGAGGCAGAGTCCCGAGCTGCAATTTCGGGATGAGAAAGAGAGAGATGGCGACATTTACCTTCCTGGGGGATCCTGCTCTTTTCTGCTTCCTCAATAAATAGGGAAAACATGTTGGTCTTGACAAACTTCTTCACAAACTTGCGGTTGGTCTTGGAGGCGACGGCTTTGCAGAACGCTCGCTCCTGGAAGGTGCCCTGCCCGTTTTTGCCCCACTTGATGTGCGAGGCGTAGTGGCCGACTATGCGGACGAAGAACTGCACGAAGGCCTCGGAGACGAGCGCGTTCACTTGCTCGGACGCTGGAAGAGGACACAGAGCGTGAGAGGTGGGGATGGGACCGCTAAACACGGGAAGGATGGACCTGGTTCACCCCGACTGGTTCGCAGTCTCTGTTTGTATCCCCAGAAAGGACTATTTGCTTAAAATCTCCATCTGCCAGTGAACCAAGACCAGCCCTTAGCTAATTTTGCCAAGGGAGCACGCGCTGCGTTTGCTTTCCAGGGCGGCAGCGGCTTTGTCTCTGGTGCGTTGGCAAAAACTGAGTTTTTCAGCAAAATCAGTTGCTCCTGCTCGCCCGTTTCTCAGAGCAGGGAAAAAAGGCCAAGGGATTCCCTACCTGTGGCTGCATTTCATTACAAATTAGGGCAAAACCAGGTACATAGAGGAAAGCCATTTCGCTGAGCGCTCCAGCCACTGGCAGAGGGCAGCTGGCGCGCGTCTGGCCGGCTGTCACGCCATCGCCTTACTCTGCACGTTGTTGTTGCTGTTGTGCCGGTTCAGGGACGTCAGCACCTCGTTCTGCAGCTTGGCGGGCAAGATCTCCTCCTCGTCGCCCACCTGCAAGGCAACGGACCGCTGAAGCACCCGGCCCTGCCGGGCACCATGGGAATGGGCAGTCGTTAGCGGGGTTTTCCGCGGGGGCCCGTTAATTATTGCAGGCTGCGGTGGCGATGCTGGGAGCGGGGCTGCCTGAGGACCTGCGGGACGCGTGTCCCGTGCAGACGCTGCTGCCGCCTGATTTTTCTCAGTGGAGAAATCCCCTTGCGGGAAATTCCTCCCGGATGGGTGACCTCGAGACATCCCCGATGCCACAGTGTGAAAGCCACCGTGCGGCGGGGAAGGACGGGGAAAGAGGGCCCTTCCTAGGGATACCCAGGCCAGGCAAAGCCACGCGTTGCACAGCGGGGACCTACCGCCTGGAGGATCTTCCCTTTGCACAGGTCAACCAGCAGGGCCTAAAAGGAACCAGAGAACAGTTGGTTCTAACTCTCCCAAGGCTAAAGGCTCAGGGCTTGCCTGATGCTGGGGGCCTGGCAGCATCCAGGTGCTGCCCCAGCTGTGGACGGAGGGGACACACAAGAAGCCCCAACCTCCATCTTCCTCGGCTGGGAAAAGGGCCCGACCACAGCTTTCAACCCCAGAACCAGCAGAAATCTAGGGTGATGGATTAGCCAGCGGCTCCTTCCAGC